ACGCTTTGCGCGTGCACATGGACTCCCAGACCAGCCCTGGACTCCCCCACTCTTTATGAGGTGAGGACTTGGCAACCCAATCCCCCCCAACACCAGGCAGGCCGGTGTCTGTCAGGTGTAGGAGCAGGGCCAGGGTATGAATGTTTATGGGGAGATAGTAAAGGACAGTTCTAGGAACCATTCCGATGCGTGCCTCCCTCATGAACCTGAAGAAATGTCCACCACATCACCACTCCCTCACACCAACTCCCCCTCACACCTCTTACTGCCCTCAAGAAAGCTCCTGGCAAACGTCGAGCCACATACACCAATGCTACAAGGAGGAGGCAACTTAAGAATGTGGCAAAGACATTTGCACATAGTACTCCTGCAGTGCACAGAGCTGTACAGGCCAAGTACCAGCAAGATCACCCTGAGGTGCTCAGAACAACACAGTCTCCATATCAGCAAAACAGTCCAGGAACACAAGTAGAGAGGCCATCAATTTCGTGGAAGGTAGCAGGAGTGGACTTAGCAGACGACTGCTTCTTAAATGGACAGTTCTATATGGCCTGCTCCAGAGTGAGCTCATCAAGCAGCCTGGTGATTCTAGCACCTGAGGGCAGAACCACCAATGTGGTTTAGAGAGATGTCCTTTAGTAGAGAGAGAAAAAAGTACGTATGTCTCACTTCATTTCTTACACTACAATCTTCTCTGTTAGAATTCCTACAACAAATGTCACATTTCAAATTTCACATTATCAGTATTATAACTGGATTTATGGAACTTAAATACCGTAGCGAAGCACGGGTAGCAGGCTAGTAGTTATATATATAGTTATATGCCAACCATGTCCTGCCACTTAAACAGGTCAGTCTTAATACAAAAAATATAGACACAGAAATGTTCAAATACCAATGAGAATATTTCAGTTTTCTAACACCCATTGCTACTGATCAAAAGGTCACTGTTGATAAATTTATTTATACCATCTTTCTCTTCTTGGACAAGTGACATACCATTCTATGACTGAAACCCCCCACCCCAAGAATATGCCTGCAAGCTGCATTAAAAGATCTTGCAAACAAAATGATGGTACAGCACCTCCTAAAAACTTCTAAAGGCAATGTCCCCTCCCCTTCTGAGTGTATGTCACAACAGTGAAGAAATGGGCTCTAGAGCCTCTAGTAAGGGCCTCCCAACCTTTTTGAGCCTGCGTGCACCTTTGGAATTCTGACACATTGTGGTGGGTGCAGCAACAAAATGGCTGCTGCAGAAGGTGAAGCCAGCCACAAATGGCTGTCACAGCCGCCCTGAGCCTGTTCGCTGGGAGGGCAGGGTATAAATTGAAACAATAAAATAAAATAAATAAAATATCTTTCTACTGTGGTGGCAGCTGTTGTGCCGAAGCCACATTTTTAAAAATCTGCACAGCTAATCAGAAGCCTGAGCAAAAGCCCAACCTTGCCCCATCCCCTTTCTAAAAACACTTGTCGGGCATCAGGAAAGATGCTAGTTAGCACTGTACCCATGGGACACCACAGTTGATTCCAAGTGGACCATCATAAGCAGGGAAATGACAAAGTGGCAATCAGATTACAGTTGGTGCATGGTGACATATGGGGAGGTAGTCTTTCAGATATGTGGTTCCTAAGTTTTAACTCATGAAGGGCTTTAGAAGTTATAGCCAGCAAGTTGAATTAAACTTAGAAGCAAATTGACAGTCTCTCTCATTTGCCATCAAGTCACAGCTGACTTACAGCTGTTTTATAATATGCAGGGGTCATTTCCTGCAGGAGCGTGCAGGAGCGGAGCTCCGGCAGTAAAGAGCCCAGAGGTGGGCACATGCAGCAAGCCCCACCCCCTGCTCCCAGCAGCCCTCAGTCAGAGCAAGAAGCAGCCAGGTAAGTTGCAGAGCCAACCCCCCCCCCCGGCCCCACGGTCCAAAACAGTCCAGGGGCACCTTTAAGACTAAGTTTTATTCAGGTAGAAGAAGAAGAAGAAGAGATTGGATTTATACCCCGCCCTTCACTTGGAGTCTCAGAGCAGCTTACAAACTCCTTTTCCTTCCCCTCCCCACAACAGACACCCTGTGAGATGGGTGGGGCTGAGAGAACTCTAACACAAACTGCTCTTTCAGGAACAGCTGTGTCAGAGCTTGTGAGTGACTCAAGGTCACATCAGCAGGTGCATGTGGAGGAGTGGGGAATCAAACCCAGTTCTCCCAGATTAGAGTCCGCACACTTAACCACTACACCAAACTGGTTCTCCTAGATTAGAGTCTGCACACTTAACCACTACACCTAACTGGTACAAGCTCTCCCTCCTCTGCAAGGACAGATCTGCAGGCCCTCCCCCCCCAATAGCTAGCAATCCAAAAGAGTCCAGTGGAGCCTGAGCCATGGGTGTTGCCTTCTGACACACTTCCGGTGATGTCAGGGGGTGTGGCATATGCAAATACGTTATTCTAATGAGTTATGCTAATGAGCTCCTGCACTTCCTTTTCTACAAAATGACCCCTGATTAATATGCGAGATGTGTGCTTGACAGCTAGCCTCTGACAGCAGTCAAGCCTGTGTGTTCTGTACCAGTTGTAACTTCCAGGTTGTCTTCAAGGGCAGGCCAAGAAATAGACTGAAGTGTAAATAGTAGTCCAAATACAAATTACAAAAGCACATATTAACTTGACCACGTTGGCTGAGAGAACTGGCGAACCAAATGCAAGAAAAGAACTTCAGAAGCCCCATGATGAAATTGCTATGATTTCTTAGAAAGCTTTGTTCTGTTTGAATAGGCCTTAACACTAAGGATTTCTTGGCTGCTCCAAATGTTAGTTTATGATGGTTATTGCCATTTCTCCTGTGAATGTGTACATTCGAGCTTTAAATAATGTATTATTTCTGCAGTTTATGAACTTTTGTTTCCATTGTTTCCATTCCTTCCCCACTCCATATCCTTATGCCATTCGGGGAACTACAGATTTCATGAATTAGGCTCTAGGGTATGAAAGTTTTGAGAGGTTTTTTTAATGCTCCTGCTGCCCCTTTTACCAGTTTGTCCTAGACTCACAAAAGTCCTGTAACGTCGCAGACACCTTATATTACGTACTGTTTTAATAATACTTTTATGGTGTACTGTGGGTTTTATATTTATGTTGGTCCTAGTTGTATTGAACCCATTTCCATAGACAATTGTTTGTAACCCTGCAAAACCTCAAACAGTCCCTTAGTCTTTAAAGGACCATTTTTATTAGGCTGACTATTTATGCAAGCGAATATTTCCTCCTCCGCAGAACATTTGTTTCACAGAACGTCGCCACTTATGTCTGGGAAACCCGTTCTCAGTTTCGCGGCCTCCAAGGTTTCTATTCTCCGCTCGCGGGAGTAGAGGAAGGCCTGTCAGCCAGCCCTTGGAGTAGACGGGAGAGGCGGACAAAGAGCTCTTAAACAAATAAGAAATGCGCTTCTACATGAGTGACTGCTCCTGTCCTCCAATAAGCAGAAGGCTTGTTGCAGAGTGCCAGCGCGACCCCGAGGAGTCTATAAAAGGAGACCACGCGAGACCGCGCGTTCCCCGTTCGGATAGCGCTGTAGTGCAGCGTTTTTCTGTCTCTGAGGCAAAAACCGCGCGGGAGAGAAGGGAGGAGCGGCGACCGCTGACGACATCGAAGTGACGGGGAGCAGATCCGGACGGCGTCTTTGGAACAGGGTTCCGGCAGGCCTGGGATCGCAACCGCAGCGGAATTTAACGTGAGTACCGAAGGCTCTCGAGGGTCAACCCGTCTAGATTTCGGGGGGGAGGGGGAGGGGAGAAGAGGCTGTGAGGCGGGATGGGCCTACGGAGCGAGCGCGGAGGCGCCGTTCTTGCCGCCTCTTTCCTTCGTTAGGCCTCAGTGACGTGGGGGCTTCCGTTGTGTCCCGTACCCAGGTAGACACAGTCGCGGCGCGGTCTTCGAGCAGGCACGATGGCCGACGTGGAGCAACAGCTTGGCGCCACTCAGAACGGGCACGAAGCGGAAGCGGCCGAGGGCTCCGCTGGTGGCGGCGGCGACGAAGAGCAGCAGCAGCAGCACCAGGAGCAGATGGAGGAGGAGGAGGAGGAGGAAGAAGAGGTGGTGGCGGCGGCCGTGGCCGAGGAGGAGGAGGAAGAGGAGGAGGAGGCGGCCGAGGCAGGGGACGGAGGCGAGGAGGGGCAGTCGGCCGCCCCGGCGGAGGCGACCGGCAGCCAGAATGGAGCCGAGGGCGACCAGATCAACGCCAGCAAGAACGAGGAAGACGCGGGGTGAGTGCGAGCGGCCCTCCTTTCCCGGCGCCATGCGGGCGACCGACGTGCTGGCAGCGAAGGGGTAGTAGGCCCGAGGCCGCTTCCGCTCTGCAGCGCTGCAGGCTCCGACAAAGGGCGGTTGTGGCGCAGCTGCGTGGCGCGAATCGGCCCTGCTGGCGAGGCTGAAGCAGACAATGAGCGGGGCCTGGGCCGCCACTACGGCGGCGGGACCCCACCTCCTTTGTTCTGGAGCTGCCTTTTGTTGCCGCCATGTGGTGGTGGTGGGAGCGCGGGAGAGATCCTTTTTTTTTTTTTTGGCCTGAAGTGGGAGGATCCGCCCCCCTCCCTGTGTTCTGTTCGCGCTCAGTCACGGCTTAATCATCGATGCATTTTAGGTAACCTTGAAGAGAAGTGTTTTCTCCCCCATTACTTGGGCCGGTTTTCTCCCCCCCCCCTCCGGGGGATATACAGAGTCCTTTCTTCTTAACACTAAAGATTGTACTATAAGCATAGGAGGCTGTATAAATAATAGTATTGGCGAATCTACTATAGATGCATTGGTATTTGTGGAATTTAAGATGACATCGGTTCATATGGTGTTTGGGAAATAAAAAAGCTGAAGAGAGTGGCTAAGCTGTTGCCTTTCTTGTTTTGTTGGCAGTTGAAGCTGATTAATTCTGTCCGATTTTTCCTGGCCCTTGTGATGCTTTTAGTTGAAGCATAGTAGTTTCTTCCCACAGGCAGTCAAACTAGCCCCTGGCCTGGTGCCCTGTGACTGTGGTATTTATATACAAGGTGTGCTGCTTCAGGATTTTGATGCTGCCATACCCAAACGGGTGTCTCTTCATTATGGACTTCTTTTACTCAACTGTAATAACAAAAAAATTTATTCTAAATATTCTGTTTCCATTATGTCAGACCCTATAGTATTTGTGAAAAACCTTTTCAAATTGTGGATACTTTAAATGAGTAACTACAAATGGTCACTGCTTTATAAAGGGGTCAGTGGGTCCAGTTTATCAATAACTTTGAACAGCTATGCAACTTTTAAAAACTTGCTTTGACACGGGACTAACCCGTTTTGGAGTAACTCAAAACAGCTTTTGCTAAAACAAACTGATATGGTAATCTGGGATATTGGGCAATGTTCTTATGTCAAATACATGGATTAGAAAGATTTAGGGGGGAGTAGTGTGCAGTAAGTAGCAAAGGAAACTGTATGGTTAATTCATGTTCAGTACCGAGGTGTTCATTATTTAATGAAAATTATGTTTTGTCAACTACTAGGATTAAGGTTTGAGTTGCTTTATTTTATGCAGGGCTGGTTGGTTTGTAATCTTTGGTGTATCTGAAGTATAAAGGCCCCCCCCCCCCCCATTTATAGTGGTTGGTTGGTGTCAAGGCTCAGCCAGCCTTGAGTATAGGTTTGGAGCATGTTAGGTTAAAATGCTCCAGTAAGTATAATATGCCTAAATTCTTGAGCAAGAAGGAAGAAAGTACCAGAAAATAAAATTAGGGGTACCTTAATTTAAAGTGTTGGGATGAATTACCCAAACTACTGCTTCCTAACTGATTTAAAAATACCAGTTTTCAACATACATAGTATCTTAGCTGAAGCCTTGTGTGAGTTTTAATTGTAGATAACTGAAACTCGAATTGAGTTTGTGTTGATATACCACCATTTATGAGATGTCTTAAGTCTTTTTAATGGTGATTTATGTATTATGAACTATTTGCAAGACAAAGGTACAAGTCCTAAAGGAATGGAAGGTGGAGCAACTGCTCATTTGTATTAACATATTTAGATAAGATATTATTAATGGTAACTGTTGCTGCATTAATACTCTTTTTATTTCAGGAAAATGTTTGTTGGGGGCCTTAGCTGGGATACAAGCAAGAAAGACTTGAAAGACTATTTCACAAAATTTGGTGAGGTGTCTGACTGCACAATAAAGATGGACCCCAATACAGGAAGATCAAGAGGTTTTGGGTTCATTCTCTTTAAAGAGGCTGCAAGTGTTGACAAAGTAAGTTTGAAGGGTTAAAAACCTAAATTCTTAGTATTCTTGTAAATCTGCTAATTTCATTCTGACTTTGTTAAATTATTTTTTTAGGTTTTGGAACAGAAAGAGCACAAGTTAGATGGACGTGTGATTGATCCTAAAAAAGCAATGGCAATGAAGAAGGATCCTGTGAAGAAAATATTTGTTGGTGGACTTAACCCCGAAGCAACAGAAGATAAAATCAGGGAATATTTTGGAGAATTCGGAGAGGTGTGTGTAGAAATATTAAAATTTCAAGACATTTTGAAGCCATAGGATAAAAAACTCCTCCCCATTTTTGGGGGGAGGGGGGAATGAAATTTTTGGGAAAATAGACATATATGCAGTACTTATTGTCCTAAACTAATTTTACTGCTTAGCAATATACAATGCATCAATTATAAACATATAAAACTGCAAAATTTCCAAAATTAAAATGTATAAATGGTTTTCTATAAGCAAAGTAGCAAATATACCCAATACTTGAGAGAAAACTGCAAGGTGATGCTCCCTATGCTGTCTTTGCACATGTACTTTAATTTTTGCTGTCTCGTTAGAGAGAGCTCGGTTTTCAGTGTAACTTTAAGAGTTTTCCCTCTGAGATTTTGGTGTAGTTTCTGCCCTACCTCCTGCCCCCCCCCCTCCCCAGCAAGGTAGGGCAATAAGATACTTGTTATCCAGTCTGTGGGTATATGTGTCTCAGTGGTTTGGGGGAGAGGTGAAAAGGTCAACCACAAGGGAGGTCAGAAAGACAACAGAAGGTATGCAACTGTTGAAAAGCAGTGAAGCCCTGCAGGGTCCCCTCATGAAGATTAGGTAACCTTGTAGGTGCAGAAATCAATCTTGGATTTAAGAGCTGTCTGTCTACACCATGCCCACCTTGTCTTTAAAAGCATTTTACTCATTGGTAAAAAGGCCTCAGAAAAAAGCTTTTGTCTGAGTTTTCCGGTTGGGGTTTTTTTTACATCTGTAGGTGTGTGACCTTGAGCATATTTTAACTATTATAATAGATATAATTAATTTGCAAAGTAAAAGAGTTTAACTCCAGGATAGCTTAACTAAAGGTACAGGCTTGTATCCAGCCAACTCCAGTGGCATGTGTGTAGATGTGCCCTGCATGTATTTTAGAAGAGGGAGAAGGAACAACATCTTTTCCTTCCTTACTGCAGCCATCCTCAGGATGTTGATTCATGTGGATCCAGGAATCATCTTTCCAGGGCTTGAAAGTAACTGCTCAGAGAGGAATGTGGGGAAAATCAGCACTCATATTAAATGGAAGGACTGTGGTAATTGGGCACAAGCTGTCTACCTCTTCTGTAGCCTTGGCTCATGCCCTTCTGCGGATAAAAGTGGAGAACAGTCAACTTCTGACAGTGAATTACTGTCTCTACAGCAATAGTGATTTTGAAAGCAACCTCCCCAGTAACTTGTGCTCATTAATAAAAGATGTGAAGACTTGAACTTCAGAGGGAATGGATCAGTTAGCCAACATACAGTTAGCCAGTTAGATAGAAGAATCAGTTGGGAAAGCCTTGTTCCCAGTAGATCCAGAAATTTTAGAGCAAAATGTGTCTTTCTTAAAAAGAGGCTGTTGTCTAGTAAAGCTTTTGAGGCCTGAGTTATCAGGTGATGTAATACAGTAGATTAATCCAGTTGAACATTATTGTTGTTTTATCAGATTGAAGCAATTGAACTTCCAATGGATCCAAAGACCAATAAAAGAAGAGGCTTTGTGTTCATCACATTTAAGGAAGAAGATCCAGTCAAGAAGATTATGGAGAAAAAATTCCACAATGTCAGTGGCAGTAAGGTAGGAATTAATGACAATGGGGTTATCTAACTTTCAGACTTAATAGCTCATATAAGTGATATTCACATGAAAATACAGTTGGAGAAAATGTGCACTTTGAGATAGAGTATTGATTTAATACATTCTAAAAGATCCCAAACTTTCAGTTATGATTACAGTAGTGGGTAATGATCACTTTGAATAAGATTTTAAATCATAGTAAAGGCTGATGGACTCTGAATTGTGCCTTGAATTCAACAATATGTTAGAGATTAATGGGGGGTGGTTTATAGGCACTTAAAATTTAAATGTAAAATTAGAAGAGAGAGAAATGAGTATGTTTGACTCAGTTTATAGAAATGAAATTGAAGTAATGACTTATTGTAACTAAGCTTGTTGGAGATCTCCTCTCTTGGGTTTTTAGATAGTAGTGGGTTTCTTTACTTTGTCCCTGTATGTGTAGTTCCCTATATCCTTTTTCCTTTGTAGTAGTTGTAGAGATATAAAAATAATTTTTAAAAAAATCCCCTCTGGGGGAATAATAAAAAAAAAGAGAGATTTTAAATCATGAAGAAAAATCAATTTTAAACGACATGTTTTGAAATTTATCCTTTTAAATATTTCTGTCTCATTCTCTGTCCCATGTCCCCCTGTAGCAGCTTACACTAAGGCATACCTGTTGTACTGAAACTTTGAGTAGGGAGTGAGGGATCTAGCCCCAAACCTGAACAGTACAGTGTTGCAGGAGAGGCTTTTCTTTTGCTGTATAGTAGAGTTATGGGGGAATAGGAAATTGTGGTTGGGCGTGTATCCCTGACCTTAATTTCATCTATTGTTGCAAAATGCAGTAAGGTATTTGGGGCTTTGCCCTCTTTTCAGCTTCAGGTGGTGGTCATGGGAATTTCTTGATTATACGAAAGGAGCTTCTTGTAATTATTTTATGCTGTCTCCCTTTTAAATAAACAACAGATTATAATCACCTACCACAAACACCTAGCAGAAGTAAGCCTCTGTGAACTTGACATACAACCAATGAACAAGATAGTGCACTGATTAACTTACAGGAGAATAGAGTAAGGAAGAGTCTTCAGAATAGTTTCTGTGACAGGCTTTGCTATGATGATGCTTAAAGAAGTAGCCAACTGGATTGGTAGATGCTGCTCTGAATGAAAAGGGGCATTTTAGAAGGTACACAGGTGGGAAATAGCAGATGCATTACCTTGTGCAAAAAAAAGGACACTAACTGCACAGGTGCTTAAAAAAAGCTGCAAGGCCTGTCTGCCTTTAAACCATTGAAAACTTGATCTGTTCTCATAGTCTCATTTGAAGAACATACGTGAACAAATAATTACTGTTTCTCAGTTGAAAAGTTTAACATACACTTGTACTTCAGTTGTCTGTAATGAAGTTTGAAATGTAGTATAAAGAGTTGCTTGGCCTTAATGCAAGAAATGGAGGAATGAAAAAATGTTGTAAATGGAACCATGATTAAAAGGGGATTTGGCTGCTATTAAGTTTTTAAAATAATAGTTGAAGATGCTACTGTTCAAGGATCCTAGTACCATGTCAGATTTTATATTTTTGTAGATTGATATGTATTTGCATTAAAATTTCACTCAGCTGTGTTTACAAACTTTGAAAGCTGCTTATATGGTGTTCTACTGTTATTTTTCAGTGTGAGATAAAGATAGCCCAGCCGAAAGAAGTGTATCAACAACAGCAGTTTGGTTCTGGGGGTGGCAGAGGAAGAGGTGGAAGAAGAGGTGAGTATTGTACACGCTACTTTAGTATGGACACGTTCTAAAACAAACTTCTATACTAAAATGGGATTTTGTGGATGGTTTTCCCTTCTATAGCTCAAAGTCAAAATTGGAATCAAAGTTATGACAATTACTGGAACCAGGGTTATGGGAGTCAAGGATACGGCTATCAGCAAGGTTATGGTGGCTATGGAGGCTATGATTATTCAGGATATGGGTATTTTGGATATGGACCGGGCTATGATTACAGTAAGTAAAGTGAACTGTATTGGGTATATGTAAGCATAACTAATTAGCAGTTTAATGCATTTAATCTCTTGTTCACAGGTCAAGGCAGTTCAAATTACGGAAAGGCTCCAAGACGTGGTCATCAGAATAACTACAAGCCATATTGATCAAAGGTATTCAGGTATGCAGTGGCAAGCTCTAATGCAGGACTGCTGCATAGGTTTTGTACTCAATGCTGTAGATGGACATTACAATTATGTACCAAATTTAACTTTACAATAAATTTCTATGGCCTGTTATGTGTATCAGAAGAGCTCCCTTGGAAACGTCTTTGTTTAATATTTACAGATAATAGTTGTTTAGACAGTGTGGTGTGTAAATTTCAGCCTTGCTGAAGATTAATGATTTTATGGATAGGTTAGATTGAAACTGATTTTGAGGCTCTGCTTAAAGCTGCAGCTCTGCATCTAGGGGCTGCCTTGGAGTGAACTATGAACTATGTTATTCCAGTTGTACAGAATAAGATGCATCTTAGGGAACCAGTGTCACTTTCCACCTTTTTATTTTGTATTGGTTTTGTGTCATACATTTCCTGTAATGGAAGTGTTAATTTTACTGTACTTTTTGGTACCTTTTTGGAATCTAATGTATTGTAAGGTATTTTACATGTGTTCTGATCACCATGACATGGATATTGATGCTATTCTAGCTTTTGAATAAAAAAGCATAATCCAGTGCTGTGTGCCATTATTCAAGCTGTCCAGTTACAGATCAGTGACAGAGTTGTGGAAGTTTAGTGGAAATGTTGGTGTCTAGTGCATACATTTCAGTGGTTGGATTTAGAGCGTGCCCTAACCCTAAAATCAATGACTGACCAGAAAAAGTTAATTAGAATAGTTACAGGTTCAAAAGGGTAGTCTTATCATACAAAGATAAGAAAAGAATGTAAGAGGAGAACTGTGGTGGGTGGTTAAGGCTGCTAAGGCTTTCAGGAAAATGCATAGATTTCTATACCATCAGCTGCAAGTGTCTGGCTTGTTTAGGAATTGGTGCTGCCTGAATGTACGGAGATTTCTTGGACCTTTAGTGTAGGGTTCAAGGCTGTATTTTACACACTCAGGGCAATGTCAGACATTTTTATTGCACATCAGAGTCTACTTTTTGTATCTGAGTTTAATTTAACTGTGCCACTGGAAATGATCTGAAAACATGTTCAGCACTGTTCATACAAAAAAGCCTTGGAATATCTGTGTAGTGCATGATTTGTATCTGAAGCCACTCAGATTAAAGTTAATTTGCTGACTGAGGGCTTTCTTGTATGTGTTCACTGAAAATGTATTAACTATAGACTTCTGCACTTAATGCTTGAAATAACTTAATGTGTTGCCTGAAAAGTTGATTTTTCAGTATTTATGTGTCTGGGTCTTTTCTGAACAGTCCTCATGCTGGTAATGATTCTGATTTTTTAAATTAGAAGCAGCATAGGTAATAGCATTAACTAGCTTTTCAGTATGAAATAGTTGGAATCCAGTGTTCTTTCTGACATAAAAATGCCATTTTAATATAGCACATTATACTGTGCTGAGCCTCAACACTGCTGTATTTAAAATGCATACTATTCAATGCAAGAATTGAAAACCTGTACCTAATGTAGAAGGCTGCTGCAAACTTAATGTAGCCTGCTTTTAATCATACCTAAGGGTGTGGGGAAGAGGCTGTGAGGATTGTGTGTGTGCCTCTGTCAGAATTCTGAAAAACGGATACAGCCGAATCTGGTTGTTGTTCAAATGTAGACCAGTAGTGTACTGAATGAAAAATAAAAGCTGGATATACTTTCCATGTAAATCTAGGTGCTGTTAGTAAAAACTTCATTTTCTGTTGGAAAACCAACAAAAGATGTTAGCAACTTTAAAACTTGGGGGGGGGGGAACCCCAATTTTTTAAAAAATATTTGAGGTACTGGCACAACTTAAATGCTGACCTGCTCAAGTGTTTTTCAATAGCTGCTGCTTTCATTGCTAAATTTTATTTAGCAAACAGAACATGCACATAATATTGAAAAGTATTGATGTAATAGTTACAGGCAACTATAGCAGCTTTCCTTGCTATCTAAAAAGCTGGGCTAGCAGATAATTGTTGAAGAGCTTCAAACCTTCTGTACCACTGTCATTTTAACAAAATAGTGACACCCATTCAATAATTACATTAAGCAAAAGTGGAAGTTTACTGTCTTAAACTAGAATCAAAACAGTAGAATTCAGCATCTTTTATCTGTAAGAAAAAGAATGAATATGTATTAAACATCCACACTTTAAAGCTTTCTATAACAATTTTATAATATGCTACCATAGATCATTGTGAGACCATAATTGGTTAAATTAAAAGCTTGAGCCTAATTTGGTCTCCTCTGTGGAAAACTTTATTTTTGTATTTTGATTTGTCAGTTTGTACTTGAATTCTGACACAGATGAAATGCTCACCATTTGAAGTGAAGGAACTGAATGGTTCTAGGTATTTCCCATCTCTAATTCTGCAGAACAGTCAATATAATAAGTGCTGTTAATATCTCAAAAGCTTCAATGTATTATAGCTATGAAACTCTTATTCCCACATCACACATAACTGTAAATAGATTATCTAGTCTCTTCCTTACTAAGAATAGCTAATGTTAATGCTTTGAACTCTTTAGCCTGCTCTCCATAATTACACATTTATGCCCTTCTTACTTTCTTGTGAGTTTAGCCCAAAACCAGTGTGCTTACAGTTTGCATATATGCTACTACCATGAGTTTGCCTCCCTTAGGAATAATTCAGGTGGTGGTGGGAATACATGGACGCCTCTCACACAACTATCAGAACTTGTAGAGCATGGAGATGCATCAGTTTGTATGAGAGCACCTGTGTATCGAATCATATACTGTAAATAAAATCACAGTAACAAAAATGCCTTTAGCCTTTTGCAGATTAAGCTTTTTATACTGAGTCAACCATTGATCCATCTAACTCCGTACTGTCTGTTCTGACAGGCGGTATCTCTCTTGCCCACCAGCTTCTGGAGATGACAGGGATTTAACATTGAGCTGTGGTCCTTCTCCTTGATACTTACAGGTTTTGTACACTAGATAGTGTTTACATATGAATGGGGGGTGTATACGAAAGGATAGGAGCTGCAGTGGCTCAAGTGGTGAAGATGCTGAACTGCAGGCTCTGGAAGGTCAGCAGTTCAGCAGTTTGAGACCCGAGTTGCCGCATGACGGAGTGAGCTCCTGTCTCTAGTTCCAGCTCCTGCCAACCTAACAATTCGAAAGCAAGAAATTGCAAGTAGGTACCGCTTCGGTTGGAAGGTAACAGCGTTCCGTGTGCCTTGGTGTTTAGTCATGTTTAACACATGACCACGGAAACTCCTTCGGACAGCGCTAGCTCTTCGGCTTTGAAACTGAGATGAGCACTGCAACCCTAGAGTTGGACTCGACTGGCTTTCGAGCAAGGGAACCTTTACCTTTATACGAAAGGATGCTGTTGGGTTTAAGGTAGCCTGTAGTCTCAAGGTTGCACTAGTTCTTTAAGTGGGCTTGAATCTGCCTGCTTAGCCATCTTTCTTACTCTTGAGTGTCAACAAACAACTGGGAGTGAATGATTAAAGATGGTTATAAATTATGTATATTTTGAAGATCAGACAACCTTTTTTACATTCCATGGAGCAGCAGAATTTATACTTAAGCAGGCATCTTTCCTTACCTGTTAATATCTTATCAAGCTTGTCCACAACAAGCTGTGCATCTTTTGTATTAAAACATAGCGGGGGTTTGAATTTAAGCACATTCCTTCCTGGGCCATCAGTGCTCAGCATAATGAATTCTTCCTTCAACCTAGAATTTAGGAAATGAATTAAAATGACAAAATATTAGGACTATTTTTCCTGTTGAATGTTAAATCTGTTCAGCTATTATATTATTGTCTTTGTGTAATCACTTCTTAAAACCTAGGTGTTGCTACTTGCCTGAAGGTAGTAGAGAACTTTTGTGGAGAAAGAGTCTATTTTGCAAAGACCCACCAGCCCTGTAATGTGGCAATAACTCTCTTGACTCCATGTGATCTATAAGAAATTTGGTACAGAATTTTGAGACACTCAGCTAACCCCTCCCTCCAAATTGAAGTCTCTACACAGTAGTCTAACTGGTAGTTACTTTCTGGATGACTTGCTGCAGCAGCAGTTGTTGCTACCAGCTTGTCTACCCCAGAAAGTTTCAAACTCATGGAACCTAGTGCTGGGTGCAACAATTCAGAGGAATCACAGAAACCCCACTGTACAGACAGAAGGAGAATTCTCATTTTATAAAATGCCTAAAAGGTAGGTAACTGAGAGGCTAGGGCCTCAACCTCATCCTCTGCAACTGTTCTGATTCCACAGGCACACAGCAGATGATATACAAAATATTGTGCTGCTGTACACAAGGAAGAAGGAAAACCCTCCTTCCTTCCTCTACTATCATACCACAGAAATATATCACTACAATCTTCAAAATACTCAACCTGTATTTAGGTTCTGAGGTACTTGAATTCAGCTGTGTGACTGGGAAAATATACCTTGTTGTTATCAACTCAGCTTCTTTGGTAGCAGGTGATCTTTCAGTTTGGTCTTGTACCAAATCTACTCCAATGAACAATCCAGCACCCCTTTAAAAGAAATGAAAATCAACAGGCTGGCAGCAATCAGAAAACAAGGTGGTTTAAAAAAATCTGCATTATTCAGTGTTGAATCCCGAATTTTCTCTCCCTCTCTTCCCCCTCCTCTGCCTCACTAACCTCACTGGGTTATTATGAGGATAAAATGGAAGAGAGGCAAGGGCAATATATAAGATGCTTTAGGGAGAAGGGTGGGTTATAAATGAGGGAAAGCTTGCAAATAGGAAAGCCTGCCTTTTAAAGATTCTAAAATAGTAGCATTTAATTCTGTATACCACCATGAGCTACTTAGTGATTTAGTTTGTCATATAAGAAGCTCTTCATGCTTACGTTTGTTATGGCTCTCCACTTTGAAAAAAACAAGGTGGTTTATGGCAGCAGTTCTCATAATTTTTTATTTTTCATCACACAGTTTCCGCAAGTTAGGGATTGGATGCAGCAATCTGGCAGCAGAATGCTCTGACAAGCATATTTCCCCCACTTTTTTAGCAGCCTTCCTACCTCGGGAAATTGTTTCCCATGGTTGTGAGACCCTCGTGGAACAGTAGCCACAGGATGTGTGGGCTGTCCGAGGAAGGGTGAAATCACCTTCCTGCCTCTTCAGCTGATGTTTGAGGGAGCAGTTTCAGGCTGTTTCTTGCACACATCATGTGGGTTTCCTGACCAGGGGAAACAATTGTCCTGAGGTTGAAAGGTACTATGAGTGGAAAGGACTGATACCTGACATCGCCAATTAGAGGATGCTTTTCTTTTTGTTGATGGAGTAGTTCCATGAGGAAGCTTCCCACTTGAAGAGCATGGTCTTGAAGCTGCTCCTTTTCAATGACATCCAAAACTGCTATACCTATTGCACAGGACACAGGATTTCCTCCAAACTGAGCCCCCAGGAGTGTGAAGGAGGAAGAAAAAGAAAAGATAGTAGAGATGAACTTTCAACATTTACTGGAATGTTGTAAAAAAGTGCTATCTGAATTTAATATAGTCACGAAATCATTGTGACATTTTCAAGTTGCCCAATATGCATGTTGTAAATGGAAGTGCATTAAACAATATTTCTATTAAGGCTAACATCCACATTTAGAGCAAGCATTTGGTATTTTCTTACTGTGTTAAAATATTCTACTCCTGTTGCTGAAAATGCCTCTGCAATGTCCCTAGTTGTTGCCACACAGGAGACAGGATGTCCGTTGCCAATTGGTTTTCCCATAGTGACAATATCAGGGATAAAATCTTCCTGAAGTTGAAATGCCCAAAAATGTTTACCAACTCTCCCAAAGCCAACTTGAATTTCATCCGCAATGAACACACCTCCTGCCTTGTGTATATGCCTATTGAGAGAGCCAGAAATCACTGAAATGCATAAAGGTGTCACCAATAATTTTGTTCCAAGTATTACGACAGCATGTTTCTAAATGTTATTACTCTAAACTAAGACAAATGTGTACATGTAACAGATGGATTGACTAAAAGAAAGCCATGGCAGTCAGTTTGCAAGTCTTGAGCAAGACTGTTAATGATAGGACATTTTGGAGATCATTAATGCATAGGGTTGCCATAATTTCAAAGTGATTCAATGGCACATGGCTCACATATATGTAACCCCCTAAAAGCTTTGCCCAGTCCATGGAGCTTTGACTTCACAGTGCTCAACTTGTCTAGATCACATTCCTCATTACCAGCAGCAAAAGACCAAGAAAGATACAGCAGTCTTAATATCCAAACAAAAGTTTAGCACAAATGGGGAAAGTAAAAGTAATGTTTAGCTTGGAGGTACTACTTACTCTGCCACCTTCTGGAAATAACCTGGTGGTGGAATGATTTGTCCAGCAACACTTGGTAAAGATTCGGCGAAAAATGCTGCAAACTGAAAGTTGAATGTTTGTAACAATAGTGAAGCTAGCTATGGAAGGATAAATTTACATTCCAGTTGCTTAAAACCAGCACTTGAGAAACAGCTGGTGCCGAGTTTCTAACTCAGAAATGCTGTCAGTAGCAAGCTACATGCCTGCATGCTACTGTTCATAAATATTTCTTACTGAACAGACAACAAGGTTCAGAAGAGCAATTTGTACCCAGAGTGCCTTTCTGACCACAAATTACACTTGCTCTATTAGGGTGAAATATATTTGTCATGTATCACTAGAGTTGACTTAAAAAAAATAACTGTTAAAACAAGTGAATCAAAGGTTTACTTTATTCTACCTTCCTGTTTTTTTGGTGTCCTTGATCAATTATTTTTTTCACTTCACTGGCATACGCTGAGGCTGGATCCTTGTGATCTTCTCTAAACAATCCTCGGTATGTATCGGGAAGAGGAACCTAGCCAAAGGAAGGGGTCATTTGTTATTGAGACCAAGTGAATTTTTGTAAAAGATTAATTGAAAAGGTCAATGTTTTGTAGTCTCTTCTGCATACCACATGGACCCATTCCTTTTGGCCGTCTAGATTTCTGAATTTATATGGACTTATGTCAATCAAGGATGTCAGATGTCCATGATAAGCACTTAAAAACAAACAAACAGTCAGCAGAGCCATACAGTTAATTCCACATCTGTAATTCACTAGGGCTAACACAGAGTTTGCCAAATTAGAGCAGCTATTCAGGTGTTTTAGGCGTTCTTTCAGCTGTTTTCTTTGCAAAAACAAGCTGAAGCATCAATTTAAACTAGGGACAATTTAATCAACAAACATAAGATCTGTTCTGAGTCTAATAACAATGTATGATTTCCTGCAAGGTTGTGTGCACTACACTTTGGTGGCAACATGCAATAGAGTCTACACTGCCTTAGGGTGCCCAATGTATTTCCAGCTTTGAAGTTAAGCAGGATACACCAGGACAGTGTGTATGAGAAACTGCCTGGGACACATGTACTCTGTTCTGAATTTCTTGGAAGAACTGAAGTTTTCCCCCCCAGATGTTCCCTGACTGAGTGTGTATAGAATAAATGTGCTACATGCTGCTGTCCTCTTGATTTGTGTGTATAGAATAAATGTGCTACATGCTGCTGTCCTCTTGATTTGTGTGATCACCATTTCTTCTGAAAGGGGCAACATCTAGTTTTTCCACCTTGGTACATACTTAACAGGGTTCTTATATGTGTGTATGAAGATGGAATATGTGTCACCCTTTTCAGAAGAAACTGATCATGCATATCAGGAGGATCATGTGTAGCACATTTGTCCCATATGCATGGTTAAATGCAATGACCAAACATGGCTATTTATTTATTTACACTAGTAGTCTGCCTTTCTCACAGGGACTTAAGGCGGATTGCATGGTGACAAACCAGACAAAGAGAGAACCACAGAAACACCTAAACCAACTGTGACAGACTAATGATAATTACTTACAAATACATTTTATAATTTTTACATATTTTTAAATGAACAGTGCAATACATATGAAAATTATAAATGAGTTTCATAGAAAAATACAATCTCTGTTTTTATATATCAGTTTAGGAAATTCACCAAAAGGTGTTAAGTCCTTATGTGGAAAGTTCAACAAAAGGGAAGAGTCTGCTTAAGTGGAAGATGCATTTCACACCTCATTAGTTTATCCAGATCAAAGAAACATCAAATCCTGTTGAAAAATGTCCTGCAACACAGACAAAAGATTTTTTCAAAGCAGGAGAAATTCAGGATACAGATAAATTTTTGGAAATTAATAACAGCAAAAAAACATCAGAACTTTCACTGGTTTTTAGGAAAGGGAGCTGCATCAGTGAAAGTTCTGATGTTTCCTAAACTGATGTTTACCTTTATAAGTTTACAAAATAATAATTTTTTGCCTTATAATTAAAATAAAGTGAATTCAAAATGTTTTATATACTTACTGATCTATTACAACAACATCCTCATGCTTTGTGTACTGCCGAGCCAGTCTCAGGGCAAGGTCGTTGGCCTCTGATCTACAGTTGAAAGTTCCATGACTCTTTCATTGAACATATACAGCCAAACAATGATTTCTCTAGCACTGTTATTTTGTAGCTACAGTTTACAAAACTGAGCAGTCAGACTCTGGATTTCCAAATGGGCACAGAAAAATAAGAGTATGTACAAAAGGGAACCACTGGGTGAACATGACAGTTTTGACCTAGCCAACGTACATACTTCTATAATGAAACATTTCAGTGTCACAAACTGTTTGATACATTCACCTTATGTTATAAATGGAAAATATTAGCCTGAGACCAGAATATGTAGGAATACTTAGTATTACTAAATGGTATATATTCCAAATATTATGTTCTGGTTAAAAGAAGTGAAATGAAATACCAGACATCAAAGCAATGATACAGTGCTGTTTTTTCTAGAACACAATTCACCTACATCGATGTGTGGGTGTAACAAATGACAATGTGTTTTGCAACAAGGTGTGGAAACAGGTCTGTAAAATTCAAGCATCACAATTGGTCCCAAAAGTCAACTTTTAATTTTAGTATTTCAGCTACTTAAAACAGCACCCCAATCCTATGCATAGTTATTCAGAATGAAATCCTTCTGAAAGCAACTGGCATTTTGTCTCAAATAACTCCACTTAATATTGCTCAGTATCAATGTGAATCAATATGAGGTAATAAAGAAGCTGCCTTATTCATGTGATATTAGGCACTTACCCTGAATTCAAAAAATAGAAAGTGCACAGCTTTTCAGGCAATGTATTTGAAAGTCTTTGTGCATAATCTACCAAGTTGTCATGTAGATACCGAGAGTTTGTATTTAACAACTGGTTTTGTTGATGTGCTGCACGGATTACCTCAGGATGGCAGTGACCAACTGAAAGATAAGGAAGGTAGATGAGGAGAAAAATCATATTTCAGTGTCCACTCAAAAGGGATACTACAATATGTTTAATAACTAATTATGTTGTTCTGACTAGTTTATACACAGCTCAGTCCTGCAAAATTATGGGGATGGAGTCTCCTTGTGCCAATTGAAGATAATGTGGCTTGATGCATGTGCTCAATCATAAACTGCAGTACAGAGGCACCAGTGAAGGGAATTTAATAGCTTCCTTGCAACACTTTAAATCAGCCAATCTATATGCTAGGTTTGAGACAGCCTTTCTCCCTCTGAGAGGAGGTCATCTTGATGGGTGTTTCCCACCCTATCTGTAGGGAGGCAGGAACCAATAATCTTCAACTTCCTGTCCTCTTAGTGGGGAACGCCCAGCTCCTCAGTTCTGTTCCTGCCTCAGTAGGGAA